TGAGCATAACTGATATGCAAGAAAGTTTAAATTCATCTTTTTGTTTTAGTTAGAAAAGTAATGTGTTCACTATAGAAGCAATATATGTTCATTATATAGAAAATACTATGAGCAAATTAAATATCATTGTATTATTGAGTTGTGATCAGTATCAAATTTCAATGAAGTTGTATCAGAATTCAACAAATTCCTTCACTTACACACAAAGTAGCTGTATCTAAACAAAGTTTCCCAAGGGAGATGGAACTTGTTTCCTGGTTCCTAATCTTAAACTTGGCCACACCATGCTCTCTGTCCTTGCTGCAAGTCTACTCTGTGGTTCGTTTTATCTTCAGCTTCCTAAATTCTCCTTAAGCAGTTCAAATCCAAGTGTCCTCCAGCGCCAGCTTCAACATAAAACCTGCCCTACCACCAGAGGGAAACATATACATGCAGTACACACTGCGTGAGTGTGAATGTGTGAGCATGTGAATGCGCGGGCACGTGTGTGTGTGTGTGTGTGTGTGTGTGTGTGTGTGTGTGTGTGTGCAACAGCGCAACAAAGCTCTGGGAGTGACTTGATATGTGATGGCTCCAACCAAAGACCTTTTTGGACAGTGATTAGAAGTAAGAAAACACAAAAATGTTTCAAAATAAAAAGGAACCATGTACTTTTCTCAGGAAAGAATTTTCTTTTCTTTTCTTTTTTTTTTTTTTTTTTTGTTTGATTTTGCTTTTTTAAAAACTTTTTAAATATTTATTTATTTATTTAGAGACAGGTTTTTTTCGTGTAGCCTTGGCTGTCCTGGACTGACTTCGTAGACCAGACTGGCCTTGAACTCACAGAGATCCACCCGCTCTTGCCTCCCGAGTGCTGGGATCACAGGTGTGTACCACCACACCCACAGCAGCATTTTCTAAATATGAAAAATTACCCTTTAAACCACATTTCTATTGTATCACAGAAGAAGCCCATCTTCTAAACATCCTGATAGTAAGTATATAAAATACGGTTTTATCAACTATTTAAAAAGAACTGTTGTAATATTGCATAATCTATACCTACCAGTCCCCTTTAAAACTTCTACTTAATTCCCTCTTCAATGCCAAGAAAGTCTGGAATTTTGAGTATTATAAAGATATTTTAAATCAATCTTCAACTCTTACATCTTCTATATAAAACACAGAAGCAAGCAGTGTAAAATAGAAATGGGATTTTCTCAAACATCTCAGTTTATTTATATCTAAAAACAAAAACCTCCTGCTGGGCAGTGGTGGTACATACCTGTAATCCCAGTACTCAGGAGGCAGAGGCAGGCAGATCTCTGTGAGTTTGAGGCCAGCTTGCTCTACAGAGTGGGTTCCAGGACAGCCAAGGCTACACAGAGAAACCCTGTCTCAAAAAAAAAAAAAGAAAAGAAAACAAACAAAAAAGGTATCTGCTTCATGAGGTGGTCTATAATTATTTTATCCCAGCAGCTTCTCCCCCCTTCATTATATATATATTTTTTTGCTGTACTTCAACTGTCAAAGCTGTTTCTTCTAAGACCTTATTATTGCCTGACTTTCTGGTATTTTCAAGTCATTGGTTGATTGACTTCTTTTTGCTTATTGGCCTCACGTGTTTCACACTTCTTCTCTGATGAGAAGCAGAACGAGAAAGCAGAAAACACTGGCCTTGTAATCAGCTACTTCTGGATCTTTACCTCAGTGTCCTCCTTGAGTGGTTGTTTAACTTCTGTTTGCAACTGGGATAGTTACCTCACAGGGTGTTGTGAAGATGAACCAAGATAGTAAGATCTGATAAGCGCCTTGTCTCATACCTGCCACTTGTGCTGTGCCTTTTGTTCCGAGAGCTGCTCAATGCAGATAACACTAATGAAGAACTTCTGATGGACATTCTTGGGAGAGGCTTTCTTTCGAAATGTTGGAATCATTTCAACAGTGATTTCAGATTGTATGGGACTAGAGGGCTTTGCCCAGGTCGTGTGTAAAGGTCTTTTTGTTTTCTCCTCGAGCCTGTTTACCCACACTAATCTGTGTGTAAGCCCCCTGAAGTTAGGATTTGCCCAAGGCCTTCAAGCTGGGGAACGTTATTTTTAATATCTTGCACTCCTCCTTGACATGTAATGATAATCAGTCATTGTATGATACTTGGTAAAAAAAAAATCAGCAAGATAAAAGTAGCGTTTACCAAAATAAAAATGAAACAAACAAAGGGCAGGTGTACTGCACATACCAGGAAAGGCCTGGAGAAGAGGCTGCAAGTCAGCCAGTGCCTCCTGCCCTGGACCTGGAACTGGGTCCTAAATAGAACATTTTTGCCTTTAGCCAAGAATATAAAGTTTTGACCAGCAATTCATGGCCAGCTTAGTAGGAACTAGGTTCACGGTGTTTCTTAGAAGCAGGTCTGCCACATGGAGTATCTGAGAAGGGTCACTTAAACAGGTGTGCAGTGAGAAGCCTCTGCGTGTATCAGAGAGTTCTGCACTGTCTTCTGTGAGGGCGCAAGCAACTGAGAGACAGAAAAGGGCAACAAACCAAAGTAGCTGAGAACTGTGTGTTTTTATAAGCCCCCAGGAAGGGAAGGCTGAGCTCCGTCTCTAGGTTTGTAGTCAGTAAGCATCCATCTTTGGTTTTAGCTGAAAACAAACAACAAGGGATTGGACTTTATATTGTAACAGAGGTTAGAGAGCAAAAGAAAGTAGTCATGGCAAAATGTTTATTAAGTGAAATTCGTATGGATTTCCTGGCTACATATGGAGAAAATTATACAATCAACACAGCTCTCTATTTTAGTTTCCAATATGATGCCCAAGATTTGATTTCTACTTTCTTCTTTCCACATATTTGTCCTACATTAATTCCAAGACACACTGTGGGAAAGTGTCAACTTCCTTTTAAGCAGTTTTTTTTAGTGAGGCAAAATTCACATGAAATAAAATTTACTCTGTGTCATTTTAATACAGTTTTGACACTTTGGATAATTCAGTGTTGCACTAGCACGGCTGTCAGACTTCCATCATTTCTAAACGATGCCCAGGGCCTATGATGTCATAATTACCATTCTTCCCAGACCCTGAAGACAACTATGGGCTTTGTATTTATGAATTTGATATATGTATATATAGGTAATTATTCTGTATTCCTTTTTTAAAGCTAGAGATGTATGAGGGGAGAGGAAAGAACACAAGAGGAGAAGGTAGGAGAGGTGACAAAGTCATGAGAAACTTGTCAAGGTCAAATCTATTGGGATACTCAACCAAAATGAAGACTTGTGAGAAGGCTCATCTCTCTGTTAGTTGTCTGTGACTTGAAGTAAGAACCTGAGCTTGAATTTCTCAAGAGTCCACTCAGTTTCAAGATTACAGAAATGTCAGACAGTCTTGAAATTTGCTTCTAATACAGAGAAAGGCACTTGAAGAGAAACACAGCTTTTCAGTGTCTAAGTTCCGGTTCAAGCTTTGCATCCAATGGGAGCTCTGGCCTGAGATATGAGACTTTCCTGTAGTAGCTGGTGATAACCCCACTGTGTTTTTCCTTTTCATTTGTCTTCAGGGCTGTGGAGTAGTGACCGTTCCCTGTGCTGTCTTTTGTTCTGGAGTGCACATCGGGAGCGGCAGAGGCAGCTGAGGGCCTTGGAGGTAAGTAAAAAACAAAATAGAACAAAACCCTTTAAAATAAAAGAATAAAAACACACTTTTATTTCCCAACCACAAATGTGTGTTAGTAACTTCCAACCAGAGTACATTTTATTCTGGCAAAAATACTTAAAAGGTTGTTTGCAGACTGACTGTTAAATAGCTCAAAAGTGACACATGCCTGTCATCCCAGCACTGGGGAGGCTGAAGTGGGAGGATTCTGAATTCAAAGCTGTTATGAGTAACTTAAATTCTGTGTCATAAATAAAATGTTGATATGAATTGAAAAATAGTCTCTGGGCACCTATTTTTGTTTTTGAAACTCTTTTGAAACATGTATGACCCTTTTAGTTATGATTACGTTGACAAGAAAGTTACATACTCTTTGTTCTGAGAGAAAATAATTTGTTGTGGATGAAATTTTACTTTTCAACTAGTCAAATGTTCCTTTGGAAGGAGGAAGAACCAGTGGTGTCTTGTGACTGAAGCACTGCTTTGTAATCTGGAAGGTCAAGGCCAGGAAACTGTCAGTTTATGTATTACAAGTGTTTTGAGGTTTTTTTTTTTTTATTATTATTCCGTTTTCTTTTTTAACTGCTTCCATGTCAAGAGCTCCAACAATACATTCTGACAATGAATGCATTTCCACTGACTAGGATTTAGAAACCCTGGCCAAGGCTCGGATACCACACTGCTTCTGCTGTCTATGGATCCTGCTTATTTTTCTGCTCCGTTGTAGGCTCCCCTCTGTCCTTCTTACCACTCTCCTAGTTTTGGCTTCTGAGGACTCCTTGGTGACAATGGGGGCATGTCATACTTTGAGACACACATCAACTCAGCTACTGTTTCTCAGAGTCTTCTTAACTGACTGAAAGTTAAGCTGCCTGAAGGGTGGAGACGGCTCAGCACATAACCCTAAGGCACACAGTAACAAATGCAGAGGACACGGAGGTCCCTGTTCTTGGCATACAGTGACATATGGAACCAGGATAGTTTGTATTTTGCTTGAAGATGAACAAATTAAAAAAAAAAGAAAATTGTCCTAATTTGCTAGATGGCCCATTCCTAAGTGCCTCCGGCACACTTTAGTTTTACTTCAAAAGACAGTTGTATGCACTATTTTGTATACCCTATTTTGCAACTTCAGCAGATATAACCAAACCCCTGAGTGAGGAGAAAGGACTTAAAAGTTTTATGCAAAGGAAAGAGAAGGGTTTTCCAAGGACTAAAAGCTGTTAACAGCAGTAAACTGTGCGTCCCCTATCTCTGCTCTGCAGACCTCATCCCAACGAATCCAGCTGCACCCCGCCCGCAAAGACCTTTGGGGCTTCTGATACAGAGTCCAGATACAAGGCCTGTGCGTATGAGTGGCTCTCTTCATTGCCAGGTGCCATTCTGGCGGTGGCGCTTGACGTATGCAAGCTGCTTGGAGTTTCAATGTTTAGGATCACTCTTGAAGTGTTGACGAAATTGACAAAGCAACAGGCTGATACAAGAAACAGGTATGCCCTGGGGAGGAAACTGAGGTCATTAGAGGCTTACACCTGGTGCATTTTGCTTTAGTTGTGTTCACCCATCCCTCCAGACGGTTACCAAATGGCTTTATCTGAACTGGGCCAGACTCAGGGTCCCAACCGGGACAACCGGTATTCCTGGTAACCGCCTGTCAGATTCTGGGGCCTGTGGAGTAGCTTAGGAGGCAGGAGTGGCTGGGGTGAGAACGCAGGGGCCAAGGACAGTAAAGGGAGCTGCCTCCTTTGCAGTGGCTGTAGGACAGAGGCAGCCCTGAGGTCTGGGTTAGGAGACCTCGGCTCCCCGACTGGGCTGCGGAGAGCGGCTCTCTGATCTTTGAAGCCCCTTCCTGCGCTTTGATTCCGCAGCTTTGAGAGCGAGCCCTCTCTACAGTCCGGAGAAGGAAAACACTGCGCTGCAGGCAGGCCGGACGCGGGGCCAGGAAGGCTGTCTCCGTGACTCGACTTGTGTTTACTTAGCTACCTGCATCCCGAAGTGTAGCTGGACGTGGGAGGCTTTCCCACCCCCACCGCGCCAGATCCCACTGAACTTTGCTTAAGGACTCTCTGGCGATCAGGTTTTCCAGAGCGAAGCGTTTCCCTCTAGCACCTGCCAATAGGCTTCGTGCAAAATGTCTCTAAGGTGTCCCCTCGGGGTCCACACACAGCCCTCTTCCTACAGTGTGGACACCAATCCCTCCTCGGGTTTCTCCTGCCGGTGGCCTGGGCCTCCCGGGAGGGCGGCGGGCACCGGGCGGCCGGAGCGCAGCCCGCGCGGACCGGGTGTCCTGCGGGGAGGGGCGGCCCGACGCTCGCGAGCTCCGCCCCCGCCTCCTATAAGTGACGGCCCGGCCCGCGGCGGCGGCAGCGGCGGCGGCGAGAGCAGGCTCGGGGTCTCCTGCGGCCGGTGGATCCTCCGACCCGCTTCCATAAGGCTTTGACTTTCCGACTTCAGCTACAGTGTTAGCTAAGTTTGGAAAGAAGACACAAAGAAAACCGCGGTGGCAGCTTTGCTGTTGTTCTTTGCTCTAGTTGTCCTTTGGGGTCTTTCGGCCCGAGGCTGCTGTTGTGCTGTGTTTTAGCGGTGCTATCTCGGTTCCTCGCACTCCTGTGGACAAGCCCCTCGGCAAGGGCAGCTACAGTAACCAGGACCACAGCAAGCAGGAGGGCGCCTGGTGTCATGACCAAGGCAAGAGATCAGACGCGCCAGCAAGGATGCTGTGGTGAGTTGTGTAGTCAGATATATCAAGTGGTGGGAACGCAGGTGGGGTCAGGGAGACTCAGTTCCGCAAGGGCTGACTACGGTTTTGACGGAGGCTCGAGAAGAGTGCAAAGTCAAGGCTGGAATAAAAGAGCTAGCATATAGGCAAGGATAGAGTGAGCTGGCCAGTGTGAAATCCCTTGCATTAAAAGAAACAAGAGCCAAGCCCACCAGAGTTTAAGTATGTTGAAACAAGAGTTTCTTCACTGTGCATGGGGTTGGGCGGTTATTGACCAAGAGGCAACGCTGAATCTAAGCAGATGGTATTTAGTAACCAGAATGCATCAATCTGTAGGTGACCTGATAAAAATCACACAAATAACAACCAAAAGCAAATTCTAAGCTGAGCGCATTGGAGTGCTTAAACATGTTTTAATTTGTTCTCCGTGCCTTTGTAGGATCCTTAGCAAACTATCTGACCTCAGCAAAATTCCTCCTCTACCTTGGCCACTCTCTCTCCACTTGGGTAAGTGAGAATGCACACTAATTTTTGGAGCATAGTTGCACAAGTTCTTGTTTACTTTCATTGGAGACAGCTGTATTAAGCGAACACCCAGTTTTGCTCTTCAGTTAAGTAAATAAATTGTTCTAAAACACATGTTTCGACAAAAATGTTTTCTTCAAAGATGTTTCCCATGAGTGTTAGTAAATGTTACTTAATGGTGAAATTGTAAAACTCTGCATAGATTGAGAAGGTGGACAAGGACAGGAAAACTTGCATAACACCTAGGGTTGGTAAATTCTAAGGCCTCCTACTGAACTGGAAAGGTATCTCATTGGCCCTCCTTTTCTCACATTTAAGAAACTTCTCTATTCTTTTGTTTATGTGTGGTTCCAGCATGCAACATTATGGAACTAGAGTAGAATGGCAGACAGATGAATACCAGCACGCTAGGATTGCAGAAGCATTGTAAGAAGAGTTTAAGTATACCTAACCTAAGATCAGATATTGAAATGATTTCAATTCTCATCTTTAAAGTTGTTATCTGTGGCTACTTAATATATGGTAGTGTTAAAAACCACCAGTGAAAATTAAAAACTAAAAATTAAAAAAAAAAAACAGTTGAAATTAGTGATGGATTCACTGTTCTCCCTTTGGCTTTGGGAGAATCCTGGTATTTCCACTGGCCTGGGTTCCTTGAACACACACTGGTGGGTGTGTTCAATAGATAATCATTAGAAACTATAAGATTAAACAATTGTTCTTACTGATTAAAAGCTATAAGTGTAAACATATCTTTGTATTATGAATAAAGAAAAGGAATTTCAAGAGTATATTTTGAAGGGCTAATTTTTTTTTTAAAGGAATCCCCTATTGGTTTATCTATAAGACAGACTGGAAACCGTCATACAAGGAAGGCTATGGCCTGTGCCCGTGGGAAATTGTTAAGTTGGCTTGTTGGCTCTCTGTGAAACAGCAGTGGCAGATAACTTTTTAGAGAAGCAAGCCTCTGTCCTTCTGAATGCTTACACAAAGATGACTCTGCAAATATATGTGAAAACAGTGGAGTTGCCTTGAGTTTGCTTTAGCTGACAGGTATATGGAAAAACAAAACAAAACAACAACCAAAAAAAAAAAAAAAAAAAAAAAAGACGAACCCTTTATACAGCTAAACCAGGAGTTCTTCCAATTTAATTCAACAATATTGAGCATTGGAAGGACCAGTAATAGAAGACCGGAACCCTGGAGAACCAGGAGCCTTGTTTCTCAACAATGATTAACTTCAATGTCATGTGACCCGATGGTGATAAACTGAGTGTCAGGCTGGCCAGTAGCATGAGAGGAGCCATGAGTATTGGTGTTACAGGTCAGTTTTTTTTTTTTTTTTGTATTGAAAAAAACTTTTGTCAAAAAAAATTTAAAGCAGGTTTCAAAAGAAAGGTGAAAGATGCTTGTTTCAACCTCACAGTCAATTGAGCAAGTGGACAAGGTTCTCCAAGCTTAGGTTTGTGTGATTTTGCCTGTTTTTAAATTTCTGACTTCATTTCTAGTAACCGGTCAATACATTTGATGCTGCTGTTGGAGTACAGAATAAATGAGTGGAAGCTTTTGTTAGGGAGTTTATAATACAATTTAATATGGACTTTAAAAAGTAACAACACAAATAGCAGTGTATAACAATAAAAAGAGGAGCAGGCTGCTTCTGTTGATGTCAGTGTCCTTTGTACTGTTTCCATAAACCCCAGGTGGTCTGCATTTTTTAAGGGTGTACTTCTCATAAAGGCCCATCATGTAGAGCGCCGACTGCCAGCCCCCTCTTGTGTTCCTTTTCTTCACAGCTTTTGGTACCACCTGTTCTATGCTAGGGTTGCCTTTGTCTCTGTACACTGGAATGCCAGCAACATGAAATAGCCTCTGTGTTTTGCACACTGCAAAGTTTTAATGTCCACAGTAGCGTCAGGCATGCATCCGAAACCATTCCATGGGTGTTTATTAAGTAGATTAATAACTGTGGTTACTTATTCTCGGATCCAGCGTGGGTAGATAGGCATGTAAACAACTATCAAAGTATAGTGAGAGCACATGGGGAGTGGAGAGGCAGACAATGGAGGCATGTAGTTTAATGGTTCTCAACCTATGGGTCACAATCCCTTTGAGGGTTGGATGACCCTTTCACAGGGGTCATGTAACACCATCAGAAAACACAAATATTCACATTATGATTCAAAGCAGTAGCAAAATTACAGTTATGAAGTAGCAATGAAAAATCTTACGGTTGGGGGTCATTACGGCATGAGAAACTGTGTTAAAGGTCACAGCATTAGGAATGCCGAGATCCACTGACTTAGACCCACTTACGTAGATAGGAGCCAGTTTTGGAGATCTTGTAATTATGTAATTTATCTCTCTTTAAATTAGGCTAGCCAGAGCAATTTTAACTTCATTCTCCAAGCTCTGAATCTTGTAATCATTTTGAATCATGACTGGAAATCTTTACACCAAGATTTTCTCTACCTCTGTGCGGTGATGTCAGGAAATTCTTCCTTGTAGACTGATAGGTGTCAGCAGTATTTCCCTCCCTCAAGCTCCTGCAGCCGTGGAGGCAGTGATAACCCAGAGTATCTACAGACAACAAGAAATGATGCCTGATGAATAGAATCATTTCTAGTAAAGAATGACATGTTTTTCATGTTAGCACAAATCAATTCAAATTTTGAATATTTAAGATGGTTATTTAAGTTTTATTAAAATTTAATAGCATTTGACTTATCAATATAATATTTTTCTTCTAACATACGAAATTTATCTTGAGGATTTTGCAAGACTTTGGAAAGCTCCTAGAGGTGAAATTCTTTTACACAGGGTCAAATATGTGAGCAATTCATCTTGGAATATAGTGATGATGATGACAAAACATTGTCTTTTTTCATGTCAACCCAGGACATCAGGGCTGGAGCTTATAATTTTATAAAATGTCTATTCTAGACATCACATATGTTAACTTAAAAGTTTGTGTTAAAGTTATACCAACTAATTGTAAAATTCTTTATATGTTCTGGAACTATGTGAAGATATAACTTCTTTTTCTTTCAAAATCTATCTGTATTAAAACATTAAAATAACTATATATATATATACATATTTCAACATCTTTGGTCTTATAAGATTAGTTTCCCATATTGATTGTTTCCTTCTGATTACTCCGCTGTTCTGTAACTTTGAAATTTACTTGTGAAACAGAGTCCATTCCTATCAATTCCTAAATCAAAAAGCTGGCTTGTGTCCTCCTTTAAGGTAAACTGACGCTTGTAAATGATCAGTAATAAAGCCTGAATGTTTTCCACTGTGCGGGAATGAAGTCTTAACATTAAGCAAGTATTCAATCCGTAATTACTGACTTGAAAAATCATCTGAATGTAGCCAGAAATCATCCATTTGATAAAGAAACAGCTTCTTGAGTGCAGTGGGCCTCAAGCTAAAAACATTTCAAGCAAACATCTTTCTCCTGTTTAAGGGGGATCGGATGTGGCACTTTGCGGTGTCTGTGTTTCTGGTGGAACTCTATGGGAACAGTCTCCTCTTGACAGCTGTCTACGGGCTGGTGGTGGCGGGCTCCGTTCTCATCCTCGGAGCCATCATTGGTGACTGGGTGGATAAGAACGCCAGACTTAAAGGTGAGTGCCATTATGTAACTAAGCCCGTGTTCTCTGGACCAGCCTTTGTTTTTTCTGACATGGAGGGAACAGCGGACTAAGAGAACAGCCAGGGTGGTTGGCTCAGGGAGGCACTCACGTAATACAACTGCGGGGGTGGAAGTTGGTGAACACCTAGATTCAGGGTTCTGGGGTTTCTACACTAGTTGGGATGTCAGGACATTGACCTAATAGATTTTCTTTTTTTGGCAGTTTGTCAGTTTCAAATGTTAAAAATTAACCTGGTAGCCAATTTTCTGGGAATCATGTTAAACATTGAAAGTTTGCTTAGCCCCGGCTTCCTATCTAACCGTGAATTGCACTAGAGGCCCTCTACTGTGATGTTCCTGGGAACAGCCTGATAGCTGTCCTTCGGGTTCCTGCACTGCATGTGAAGGTGTGTGTAATGGAATTGAAAACTAAATATGGATCCAAGGGAGAATAGCTGTCTTGGCCACAGACAACTGAATTATAATCTTCTAGGGAAAAGAAGAAATTATTATATATTGAACATGTATTATATTGTACATATGTATGATAAATTGGCATTTATTCTAGGGTATTAAGACAATCTGTTTTACATACAAGAAATTGAAAATAACTAAGGAATTTAGTTATTTAAAACATAAGAGAATGTGGATAAATATTTGGAGCTCGGTTAATAATGCAAAGAGCTGGCCATGCCTGCCTGAAGATAGACATTGGGAAAACATTAAGGGTATGGCTAGTTTTGTTGAGCTCATGATGACCGCTTCTAAACAGTCAACAGGATTTCTACTGGTAAAAAAGGTTCATATGAAGATTTTTTTTCTGTTTTGAGAATGAGCAGATCAGAGCGTATAAAAAATTCTGTATGCTAGAGGAAACCAAATTCTTTTTATAGTTATACACAAAAATATTATCCACGGATCCTTGAACCATAAAATTGTTGAGCCTTGCAATCACGTGTTAGGAAAGTGCTGAGCTGGATGGAGAGGAAGAGTGTGGTAAGATAGAGGTCTCTTGTGTCTGCTGTGTCAACACACAAGTCACCCTTCAGGAGAAATCCCTGATGCTTATGGAATGAATTCACTATTTCTTCCTCTTTGCTCTTTGAGACTTTGGGGTACCGCCGTTATTGTACAGATATGGTTATAGCAATCTGCTCACATCTCCTTCCTTTCGGTTGGCAGTTGGTGTTTAGTCCTTTTCTGTGAATGAATGCATGCACAGATGCATGGAGACATGAATTCTATGTTGGGGTTTATTTCAGACTGCCTTCTGAGGGGCGTTTGTTTTGTCTTAAGCCTTTGATATGACCTTCCAAGCCAGGATAAGCATTATTGTCCTAGATTGACACGATCTGTAATTATAACTTAGCCATATCAGAATGCTTTCATAAATACTTTATTTGAGTATCATTATGATTCTATAAAGGGAGGAAGATGGATGTTTTCCTCCAGAGTTGTGAGGCATAGGCCTAAGAAGCATTAAATGACCTGTCCCAGGTCATCTACTTAGTGAGCAGTGGAGAAATGACGATCAGCTTCTTTCCTGACTTGCTCCGGCGCTTCATCTGTATGAAAGAGTGTCTCTCTAACAGGACTTATTGATGGAAAGCATAGCCATGACAAATAAAATACAAATCAGAAGAAACCTGCTACTTACCGATTTTTGGCAAATGTTTGTATATTTTCCATTTGTCAAGATTATTTTATTAGATCAAGCCTGCCATGTAAGCGAGAGGCTATGGATCCCACAACTTCCTCCTTCACCTCTTTATAGCCTGCTACATGGTTTTATTTTAGCGTGAGTAGCAAACGTTTTAAGGATGGATCTCCTCTGTGGAATAGTTCTTTTTTAGGGCAGTAAACATTCTGGTGGATAAGTTAGATGAGAATGCAGTTAAAGACTTCAGCTAGTAGAAGGCAGCCATGAATCCATTATTTTATTTGCAGATTTCACAAGTCTGTGTACAGGAAATGCTGAGGCAGAGTTTACTTTGGGAAGGGTGTCTTTGTCTTATAATTTTATACATGCATCAATGTAGTTCATCAAGTGTGTGAACGAAAGCAGCCTGCTGAAGACAGGGCGGGGCAGTGACCACATGCTTTTGCTCTGTCCAGTGGCCCAGACTTCACTGGTGGTGCAGAATGTGTCCGTCATCCTGTGTGGAATCATCCTGATGATGGTGTTCTTACATAAGAATGAGCTTCTGACCATGTACCATGGATGGGTCCTGGTAAGCGCTCCACAGGGTTCTTGCTGCTTGTTTGCAGGGTCCTGAGGGGAGAATGCAGGACCTCACAAGTGCTAGGCATACTCTCCACCACTGAGCTGTGCCACAGCTCCCCTGGCACTCTGGTAGACAGAAAATGAGTATCTAATAGCAGTGAAAGTGTAAACCCTTTATAGTCTAGGAGTGTACTTTTTGGGTTTTCTAATGTAACCTTTTAATACATATTTCTATGTCCACAGGACTCTTTGATTCTCTTTTGATGTAGTTTTAATAAGTATTTGTAGGATGAATGTTAAAAATCGGCATTACATCACTACTTTGTATGAACTGTCACATAAATGATTAGTTATTTTTTTTTTTTTACATTAACTACAGATGATGCAAAAATGAACAATGCCATGCCCTTTAATTTCTGACTCCTGGTACTCAACTGTTCCATGTATAGAAAGAAAAGTGACTTTTTATGAATGAGACTAATTAAAAAAAATGTAAACTGACATATTAACTCAAGTATTTTTGCTTTAATTTCTTAGACTGTCTGCTATATCCTGATCATCACTATTGCGAACATCGCAAATTTGGCCAGTACTGCTACTGCGATTACCATTCAAAGGGACTGGATTGTTGTTGTAGCGGGAGAAAACAGAAGCAGATTAGCAGGTAACGTGGACGACCTTTTCGACTGAGTCAATCCGTGGTGATAGTGGGAGTAGGAGGCTTTTTGCTCTTGGTCCTGTGGGAAGGTTTAGTACTATCTCCGGAAAGCACAGGGTGATTTGCATTGTTGCCGTTTTAGCTGTGAGACAGCACAGTGATTTAGCTAATTGTTACCAAGTTACCTTCATAGTATCCATGGTAATTCCATCATTCTCTGTAGATCTAGCAACTAGAACATCACATTTGAACTTTTTCTTTGTGAACTTGCACTGTTTTTGTGCTTGAGCTGTAATCATGACAGTCTGACATGGCCTTTAATCCTCATAACTATGGACACTCTTATGCGTAGTTTAAGGATTTTATCATTGCTACTTTAAAAAAAATAGCAAATGGAAACAACACAATTGTAGCAAAGATTTTAGAAATTAGTTTTCACTTAAAAAAATTGAAAGGCAATTATCTCACATCCTACAAATAGTTAGGCTTTTGAAATATATTCTCAAATGAAAGAAAATGTATTCTTTAACAAACAATCTTAGTTTATTGGAAACACAGACAAATGCTCAAGAGAGACCGAAGAATGCTTACAAGACAACATGCCCTACTATGTCAGTACTTCAAAGGCTCAAAATGCCCGCGTGCACTTGGGATTCTCCTTCTTCATCAGAGAGCACACAGGCTTGAGCTGGACTGGTAATTACACAAGGCGAAGGAGTGAGGCTACCCAACGCTGCAGATCAGCTGAAGTGACTCTGCTGGTCATTAAGATAATGAGTATCACAACACATTGCCCAACAATCCCGACAGTCGAGAAAACCATTCTTGATGATTGAAGTGGCTTACTGCAGGATGGAGAAAGAAAGATTATGTGCTGGGGTTAGCAACTGGCTGTTTGACTAGACCTGGTGGTTAAAAGAGAAACAGAAGATAGGCAGGAAACAGTGATGGAAAGAACAAAGTCTATGAGGCCTGGAACAACTCCTCCAGCCCGCATGCATACGTCATGATACGCATGAACTATCATTCTCAGATAGCTATGACTGTGGCTCCACATATCTGCAGGTGACTGATGGTGCCGTGCTCTACTGTTAAAAAGTTAGACGGCCTTGATTTCTTCTAAGAAAAGGAATTGGCCTGAACCAACACTTCCTTGTAACAGTATTACAACCTAGAGAAATACTGGGTCTTGGGATTTTTGTATAAAATGAGAGCAGTCCAGGGAATGTACTCTGCAGGAAATTCTTTTTCGTCTGTCTTTCATTGTTTATTTACGAAAAATTAATAATAATTCCACAACTCTTTTTTTTTTTTGGTATGTTGAAAGAGAAGATAAGACTTCATCCTTTTTTAAAACTTTCTCTATTTAGCATTACTTTAAACATGTGAAATATATTTATGTTTTAAAATTTGTAGGATATGAGAGCACATTTTGAAAATAGGTCACAAATATATTTTTCTGACATTTGAAGGAAAAGTTGTCTTCTAAATTATTTTTTCACTTACCTGAATTTATTAACTGTACTCATTTTAACCCTATAAAGTCCATTACATTAAAATTAGAGAGCTGGAGAAATGGCCTGGTGCTTAAGAGCACATCCTCCTCTTCCGGAGGCCCCTCGGTTCTGTTCCCAGCATAGCATCTGACATTGCCTGAAACCCCGGCTGCACCGAGGCTCTGATGTTCCAGGCTCTGTGGGCACCGGCCCTTGTGTGCACATAGCTGCACAGTGCACATAATTATAAGTAAACAAAAATGTTTTTAAAAAGTTGTTTTACTCTTTCATATAGCTTTTATAAAAGAAAATACTAAAAAAAAACTTTAAGTGGTCCTAGTACAACTATACGACAATATAACTGTGTACATCTCTGAGAAGATGTTCCAGAACAACCGAAATATGACTGCTCAGTTCTCAGCTGGCTGTCTTTTTATTGTGAATTATTGCGCAGTAGCCAAATCTAGAATGGGCAGCCCGTTTCCAAGCCTTGTGGGCTTTCTCCAGTTTAAGAAGGGAAGTGCAATGTCTGCTCACCTTCTGTCAGTCAAGTCTTCAGTGCTGTGCTGTCCCCCTCAGCCTGAAGTGCAGGTCAGCAGAGCAGTGAAGGAAACCTTCCCTTTCCTCATATTTAACCACAGCAGGTGTTAACTGAAAACCATGTTTCGAAACAGAATACAGTCTTTTTTTAGTTCAGAGGGTCAACAGATGTATGTATAGCCATGGATGTTGGGTGTCATTTCTGCTATAAGCAGAATTTTAAAAGTGAAAAAGAAAGGACATGGCTAGAGAACAATAGAAGAGCGAAGAAAAGTAGAGAGAACTGTTGTGTTGGCTTCCAGTGAGGATGTTAGAAAACCAGGTGGGAAACTGGGCTCCGAGACGCTGTGTGTGTGTGCATGTGTGCATACACACATAGACGAGTGAACATAAAGAGAAGATGACGAGCAGGCTGCTGGCTGCTCCCATTTTCTTAACCCAGCATTCACGATTTCGGAGAGCTTTAAAATTGGAAGCTGTATGATTGAGGGATAGACAGGAGAGAATAGTTAGGCAGAGAGCTCCAGAAATGTTATAGTTTTTCATATACATGTTCTTTTTAACTACTCTATGAACTAAGTTAGATATTTTTCAGGTACTAGTTTTATCTCTTTTCCATGTAGTCTGTGTAACCTCCTTTCCCTAGGCTTTCCAGCCCAACTGTCACTTCCTTTCTTTCTTTTGTGGAACAATTTTTCGAAACAGCTTTTTGGGGTTTCTTGCTAATTATTCTGAAGACAAATCCAATGGTTTACTTTCTTCAAGTATGGCATATGAATTTCATGTCTGAAATATGTTGGTTAAAAGTTGGTTTCATGTTTTAGCTAGATGAGCCTGCTGGCTCCTGTTTGCTCAGCAAATACCTTTTAAATTATTTTTCTGTATGATTTTATGTACTTGTTATAGTGAAAAAAATTATTTCATATCATGTTCTGTGCCAGGGCTATAGCCAAAACAACCAAATAAGGACCAGGAAAACACTTACTTGAGTGTACATATGAAAATAAATATAAATTCACAAATAGCATGTGTTTGCACATTCAGAAGAGTGATTCTATTCTAGGCTGTTAACAATAAAAAGATCAGGTCTTCCCAACCACTGCTTAATTCATTCTGCTCCAGAAAGATAAAACTGTTTTCTGACACCACCTTTCTCTTGACTCCAAGAATTATTACTTTCCTCAGTATCACATACAAGACAGAAATTGGTGCCTTGAAAGTGTTCTTGGTCATCTAGGGAAAGAAACATTTTAATTAAAACAATTCTTGTTGTAATGATGTTTTAAGATTCAGCTATTATTTCTTCAACTATTTGCTTTTTGGATTCAAATTACTGAGTTACTTGGATCAGCTTCTTGTGTCACTGTTGGCATACACACTGGAAACTTGTTAGTTGGCAGACAGAAGTTTGGGGAGCCGCTGCAAAGACAGTGCCATGAGATTGATGAAGGCTGCCTTTGCCTTCCAAGTGAAAGGTGAAGAATATCAAAGTTCTCTCATTATCATATACATATTGTACACTCATAGGACTAATCAGAAAGCCATTGAAGACTAGAAGGAATGAGGGAAAGAAGAAAGGCAATTTTCCCCAGATGTACTCATTAGTCACATATTGATTTTTCCTTGCTAACCCAGATGATTGCCAAGTACCTACCTTGTTAATTTCACCTGACTTTGTGCTACAGGGCACGGCAAAGTAGATAATTTTCTCAGCTGCCCTTCCTACATTCCCAAGGTCAAACCTCAGAAAGTCTTGTTGTCACCCGCCTCACAGTCCCAGTCTTTGGCATCTGGGTCTTAGCCTACTGCTCTCCATCTTCCCAGCCCAGCAGCCCTGCCTGGCAGTCTATGGCCCTGCATGATCTCTCTCTCCTTACTCAGTTTAAATTCCAAGGTCAGTCATGATGGCATGCTCACCTCCCAGGGGATAGCCTTGGCTCACTTGGCTCCCTCTCCTTTTGTTAGGCTAACTCAGCAATCCTATTTAAACCCAGGTTTTGACAGTAGAAGACTGGAGAAAAACACTGACCTAGCTCAGTGTTCTCTTGAGCATGGAGTTGATCTCATGCATTCAGATGCTCAGACCCCTTTCCTCCTCCCTGAAGGATTGTTTTGCGTTTTCTCCTATACCCTGCAGAAACTTCTCCACCTTTCTCACACTCTTGCTGACTTTCTTTGTATTTTACTCCTAGCTCTCTACTAGAAGGCAACATTTATATTGGGCCCTGGAGGGACACCTGCTGAAAAGATAAGAAAATAGAGTTTCCTGGAGCTGGCACCAAGATCCTAAACCAGCTTTAGTCAAGCATTTGCCTCTTCTGTTTCACTCTCTTTGAGGTTCCCAGTTCTCTTTGAGGTCCAGTTTTCACTGGACCAATCAAGTGTCCTTTGTAGTGCTCATCTTTCTTGACTGCCACCGGTACTTGGCCTGGGTAATTTTCTTGCACTTTGAAGCACTGCCCCCTTTGGTTTCCAGGATACTATATTCTCATTTTTATCATTTTGCTAGTTTCTACTCATTTTTCTGACCTCTAAACATTGGCGTTCCCAACATTTTAGTTCCCTGTCTGTTCTCTGCTCACACTCCCTTGAGATTCCATCTAATTTCATTGTTTTAAAAATTGGCAAACTTCTAGAATTGGCTCATATCTCTTTCCAAATCTTCAGCCACATTTATTTATTTAACTGTGTCTCAACAGGAGCCTCTTGAATGTCAGTAGTTCTATCAAAGTCAATATTTCCCAAATCAAATTCTACTTCTCTTAGCTAAATTTGATTATTCTAAAGTCATCTGTTTTTCAGTAAATAGTAACTGAAAAATAAAAAGAACACTTTGTAGAGCCAGCTTTGACCTCTTATACTACATCGGTCATAATCTATACCCAGCTCATCCTGCATCTTCCTTTAAAGCATTGGTTCTCAAGTTCTGGGTATGACTCCTTTAGGGAGGGTAGCAAATGACCTTTTCACATACAAGGGCCACATATCAGATATTTACATTATAATTCATGAAAGCAGCAAAACTACAGTTGCTAAGGAGCAAAGAAATAATTTCATGGTCGGGGTCACCACAACACGAGGAGCTGTATTGAAGGGTTTCAGCATTAGGCTGGTTGATAATCACCGCTTTGAAGTAAGCATTGGGTTTGTTTTTTGCCACAGTTCATATGCTACATGTATCTGCATGCTTCTTTATGTACATATTTCTTACATACATATATAATGTACATTATATATTACTCACTGATTTACTTACTTTTCCTAGAGGAACATTAACTGCAGAAAACATGAAAAGACTTTTTTTTTTTTATAGCAAATGGTTTGGTCACAGAGTGCCTCTAGAGATCAGCCTTTCAGGAATCTCACTCTTGGTTTTTGGCTTTATAATACATAAATGGTCAGGCTTTCTTTGATGGGTTTGAAGTCTTTCTCACCTGCCTCTTGCTCCTACCTCTGTAGACATGAATGCTACCATCAGAAGGATTGACCAACTGACCAACATCCTGGCCCCCATGGCTGTGGGCCAGATTATGACATTTGGTTCCCCAGTCATTGGCTGTGGTTTCATTTCGGGGTGGAATTTGGTGTCCATGTGTGTGGAGTACTTCTTGCTCTGGAAGGTTTACCAGAAAACCCCTGCTCTGGCTGTGAAAGCTGCTCTCAAGGTAGAAGAGTCAGAACTGAAGCAACTGAACTTACCTAAAGGTAATTGACCACAACTAGCAACTCTGCATTTTAAGCTCAGACTCAGACCTTGAACTTCGGTGGAGACCAGGTGCTATTTAGATTCCAGGCTGTGTTTCCAGGGAACGCCTGGATGAGTTGAATGTATCATCTTTTGAGATTCTGTAATGAACTGTGGGTTGGATCTAAAAAGACATGGGGTTAGGTCACTGGCCCCTTTTCTTGATGTGGGCATTGGGTACAGAGGAAGAACTGATTGAGGATGGCTGAGAAAATGACTCATAGAATTAGGAAGACAGGGAACATGAAAAATTTTAACATCCCTGAAGAGAGTAAAGTCATCATTTGGAGGACAGTGGGAGGGGTAAAAAGAGAGGCAGGATTTTTCCAGGGGAAGAAGAGGCTGGTTTTCTGGTAAATGAAATCTTAGTGAAGTCCTAGAAAAGAAGATCATATTTCCACCCATAATTTTATACTTTATTTGATGAGTTTTGCTGTGATTTACTTCAGTGAGAGTGTAATCTCTAAAAGAAAAAGAGACTGAAAAAAAGAGAACAGCAGTGTCTTTAAAGCAAAGCTGGTACTTGAGAATTATTCCATGCTGTAACTCATAAATTAACAGTAAAAGGACAGTAAAAAATATTATAATGGGTCAAGGAGACCCATACAGGAGGGAAATAAGGAAATAAAAAAGAATTAGCTTTTGCTCCCCATGTTTTCCCTCTGAAATAATGATGTGTCTTATTAACAGATACTGAGCCAAAACCTCTGGAGGGAACTCATCTAATGGGTGAGAAAGACTCCAACATCCGCGAACTTGAACGTGAGCAAGAGCCCACATGTGCCTCCCAGATCGCTGAGCCTTTCCGCACGTTCCGGGACGGATGGGTCTCCTACTATAAGCAGCCGGTGTTTCTGGCTGGCATGGGCCTGGCTTTCCTCTATATGACAGTCCTGGGCTTTGATTGCATCACCACAGGGTACGCCTACACTCAGGGGCTGAGTGGTTCCATCCTCAGCATTTTGATGGGAGCCTCAGCAATAACTGGAATAATGGGGACTGTGGCTTTCACTTGGCTTCGCCGGAAATGCGGTCTCGTTCGGACTGGCCTACTCTCAGGACTGGCACAGCTTTCCTGTTTGATCCTGTGTGTGATTTCCGTGTTCATGCCAGGAAGCCCCTTGGACTTGTCTGTTTCTCCATTCGAGGATACTCGTTCTAGATTCATGCAGGGGGAGCCAGTGTTCCCAACTACCAAAATACCTGAGGCCGTCTTTCCAACAGAAGTGCTTATGTCCAATGCGTCTGATGTCAATACTGTCCAGGAGATGAGTACTAAATCCGTGCCCATCATCTCTGTCAGCCTGCTGTTTGCAGGAGTCATTGCTGCTAGAATCGGTGAGAACACTTTCTGTATATTCAACATTTACAAACATTGTTTTGTAAACCTAGTGCAGAGAAGTCAATGATAAATTATCTGAAAATACTTCATGCCTGTTAATTTAGGCAAACCCCAAAGTTTATATATAGAATCTACTCTTTAAACATGAAATTGTACTTAATATTTAAACTATATGTCTGTATGTACATGTGTGGGTATATGAAGTGTTTAGGATTTCTTTCCCCTAAATTGTGTGTGTATGTTGGGAGAGAGCCAGGAGCTTATGTATGTTAAGTGAGCCCTCTAATTCTGAGGTACATTCTTAAATGATTTTTAAGTGTCATGTGTTGTGCCCCATTTTGTGTGTGTGTGTACGTGTGTCCATGTGCACATGTGTGCTACAGAGGACCAATCCCAAGGCCTTCTGTGCCCTAAGAAAGTGCCCTATATTGCTACCCTTCTAAAGACACAGTGGTTGTAAGAAATGCCCTTCAAAAGTCTTCTCTGGTTCTATGTATTTACCATATACTTTGCCACACAGATGAGTTTAATACTTCCGGCAGGAAGCAAAATGTAAAGGCATCTTATAGAGAATTTAAGTAATCATTAATGGAGCACTGGTAAATGGCCTCTGAATCCATTCATTCTTGAAATGAAACCATATTTATCTTGAGATACAGAGCAATTAATTAATTTATCAGAGACATTATTGCTCAGGCAAGACAGCTTTATTGAGAGCCTATGCTAGTCAATGGCAGGGTAACGACAGTTTAAAGTCTCTGGGTGCTTGAGCCGTGGCAGCACACTAGGCCACTTTAAACTTTAGAAGTGCTGCAATTTATAAGCTCCTCATGCCTGATGCAGGTTAGTGTCTGAATAATCACAGAAAAACAGGACTGAGAAGCTTGTAGCTTAGCTTTATTGTGTCTTGTGTCTGTGAAAATACCTTTTTGAAGGTATTAATAATCCAGTTTGTACTAATAAATTATATAAGGCAAAGTGTGATTAATACTTTTTATATATGGCTAACTCGAAGGTTGTAGAGCTCCAATGTGTTTTTCATATCTTAACATACTTGAATAATATGAGCTATATAGCTATAAGTTAAATTATACACTAAAATTTAACCTTTTAAAATATCCTTTCCATCTAGGTCTTTGGTCCTTTGATTTAACTGTGACACAGTTGCTGCAAGAAAACGTGATTGAATCTGAAAGAGGCATTATCAATGGCGTGCAGAACTCCATGAACTACCTTCTCGACCTTCTGCATTTCATCATGGTCATCTTGGCCCCAAATCCAGAAGCTTTTGGCTTGCTCGTACTGATTTCAGTCTCCTTTGTGGCAATGGGCCATCTTATGTATTTCCGATTTGCCCAGAAGACTCTGGGTAACCAGCTTTTTGTTTGTGGTCCTGATGAAAAAGAAGTTCCAGATGAAAATCAACCTAACACATCTGTTGTGTAAAATAGTTTAGCTGTAGCCCCTGTTACTAGATTGTGGAGAACATGTGTGCTTATTTTGTACTGCAGAATTCCAATAAATGCCTGCGAATTTCTCTAGTTTTACCACAGTTGTGCCTTGAGGGCTAAGAGCACTGTCTAACCTATGTCAGCAAAGAGGGACTGGTTATTTCCCCTTATGTTTAGACATGGGAAAAAAAGGAAGAAGGAAAGAAAAAGTCACTGTGTGGATAGAGAAAGTAAAGTGAACTTCCCTTGTTCTTATGAGCACAGGAAATTTTACAGAGTGGCTGTCAGGTGAGCTAAGTTATTCCTCAGCAGATATTTATTGTCTCAACCAGAAGTCAGATAAATCACTTCAGCCCAAGACTCTTGTAAACGTCTGTCCTACTTCCTTTTTTAGATCAGTAATATTTTTCTTGGTTACGATATAGAGACAAGTTTTTCTCCACCTATTAAGAGTGTAGTCAGAAAACCAGTATTATTAATCCCTTTGAGTTTAAGGAACTTATTATGTGTGGAGAATGAAATATATAACTAGACTTGTCCAAAAAGGTTCACGGTTTAACTTTTGCATTTTGCCTATAGGATGGGGCAAAATATTACTGTAATATGTGAATGTGGCTCTTGAGAAAATGGCTCTTCAGAGCCTCAGGAAGAAGCAAAGCTGTACATTTCTAGTGCAGTGTGGAAGGACTTCTGGTATGCTCTTAGTGTGGCTGTACATGTCACTGTCATTAGCGATCACTAATTATCTTAGTGTATGAGAGAGCTGCCCCCAAGCCTGGCAACTACAGGTGCAGAAGCAGCCCACACTTGGAAAGGACTAGAAATATTTGATGAGTTTGTACAGAACGTTTTACTTTTGCTGACTTGGGCCTAGATGTTTGTTATCTCTGAGCTATTCTTGAGCAAGAATAGTTACAAAATTCCATTTTCAATATCTCTTAAAAGAATAAAGGAAAAACTGTAAACATTTTTAAACTGTTTTGAAAGTCTTTTTTGTAACATGCCAGTACCAACATGGAACATTGCCTTAACTTTTGATGCACTTTCATGGAGACTGCAATGTGTTGCCGCAAGCACTTTCTTTGTCCTTGAGTTTAATCTTTTCCTTTATCTTGCTACAGTATGACATGATTTACTATGTTGTAAAAATCTTCATAAAATATTTCTATATAAAGTGTTTTTAAAGTCTTAATTTCTCTTTACTGAGTTGCGTTCTCCAATTATTTTTACTTATTTCAAAATTAGCATATGAGATATTTGATATCATCATGGTCTTTTGAACAAAGTGCTGTAGTCATTTCTCCTCTTGCATCTCTCCTTACCGCCTGCTGGTAACTTTTCCTCTATGTCCTTTTGAACACCTCGTGTCTTTCCTCGTCACCTAGTCGTACCTTGTCTTTGTAGTTTTTTAAGCTTTACTCGTATCTAGACTCATATATGTATACATGTACACAGTGAAGGCTTGGATCCTCATGTGAAGCAGAACTTGGTTTTTGTCTTTCTGAGTTTGGATCACTTTGCTTAAAGTTATATTTTCCAAATTCATCCATTTTTCTGAAATTGTTTTTATTTTTCTTCATATCGCAATAAGATTCTGTTGTGTATATATGCCACATTTTGATTTTTCGTTCGTCTGTTTGTGGACATGAAGGCTATTTCCACTTCTCGCTGTTTGTGAGGGAACTAACGAATGTGGATGTACAGGCATGTCTATGGATACAGTCCTTGCGTGTATGTCCTGGACTGGTGTAGTTGCTCATGGAAGTTCTATTTTTAATTTTTAAGAAGGCTCTATAATGATTTATATGATGGCTACGTTAGTTTTCACTCCTACCAGCAGTGAATAAGGGTTCCCCTTTTCCCATATCCTAGCCAGCATTTGCCATCAGATTTCTTATAATGGCTATTTTGATGACTGAGGTGTTATCTCAAAGCAGTTATTACTGTCCTTTTCCTGATGACTTAGGGATGTTGAATGTGTTTTGAAATTCTTTTTAGTCATTTATTTTTCTTGTTTTGAGGGAGTAATTCATTAGTCCATTCCTTGATCAACAGTTTTAAGGGTTTTGTGTTTGATTTTTACAGTTTGTAAATTCTGGATATCAGTGCCCTGTCTGAAATTTGGCTGGTCATTCTGCGAGCCATTCGTTCTGCTGATAACTTCTTTCACTGTGTAGAAACTTAATTTCATGTAGGCTCATGTGCTGATACTTGGGGCCAGTTATTTAAGTTGTTTTCTGTTACAGGACATCATTCTTAGATAATGAGTTTTTCTCTATAAAGGGCTATAGTTTTGTAGCTCATGTTTTTAGTTTATGTCATCCTGGATGAAAGTGCAGTAAATATGGAGCCCAGTGCACATTCTTTGACTTTAATTCAGTCATACCAAGTTCTCAAGTTCTATTTTCCCTTTCTGTGAATTGGAGGTAATACTATAAAAGCAGCCCTACCTGCCTCAATACTTCCCTGACTGAATTAAGCAAATGGGGCCACGTGGAGCAGTTGAGGAAGGTGGCATCAGCACAAAGAACTGGGCCTAAATTGCACAGTAAACATCTGATACAGTGAGCGGGGAGCCACCTTCAGGAAACAGTCAGCGGTCCTTTATTAAAGCTGTGATCTGGGCCCCAAGTTGTAAGAAGGCCTGGTAAATGCACATTTAGCAGACCCAGTGGATAAAGATCCCTTTTCCCCTAAAACTGAGAGCTTCTGGCACCAGCCTATAGCTAGAGATCTGGAGTTTGCACAGACAACAAAGTTGCATAGATGCCAACTATGTTAGGCTTGGCTGCAATCTTGCACAGGCCCTCTGCTCCCTCCCACAGAGGTCAAGCCGGGGTTAGATATCTGCTCTTGAGTGTTTGCAGCCATAACTGAAGGTCTGTGACCTTGTGTGATGAATAGAACCATCTGAGCAGGAAAAGATCCAGGCACTTGATGTGGGCACTGTGCCAAATGCCAGACCCACAGGAGAGGCCCATGGAAAAGGAAGGACAGTGGAGTGGCGAGCTAATGGAAATTTTACAGCAGCTGCCCTTATCTTTGCAGGCTACTGCACTGCTCAGGAAGAGAGCAAAATGAGGGAATCATGGCTGTTTACTGCCTAAGGGTTTAGAATTATGTCAAGGGTAGAAGGCTAGGGAGACAAAGAACCCTGTCTCCGGCTGTGTTTCTGAAAAGTGAGATAAACTCAAAATCTTTCTGGGTCAGTGCGACGATATAGCACAGGGATTTGGAAGCATGAAAATATTCTATTTTTTGCATGGAATTACATTTTAAAAAGAATTCCTCACTGTGTTCCCACTTGAAAACACATTCATTACCATATGCTTTTCTCACGTTCTGTTTTCATCCTCTGTCTAAGCTGATCTTCCAACACAGGCTCCTTTTTGCTGTATATTAAGCACAGTGAAGATGCCTTCACTTTTCTCTTTTTATTAATGTACTTTACTTGCATAATACAATGGGGTTTGTTGTGAGATTTTCAGGCATATGTATATCTCTACAGCCTTCTTTTTCCTCCCCTTCCCTTCCTCTGACCCCATCATCTTCTCATGGTCCCCAATCTACTTACATGTCTTCCCTTTTTTTGTCCCTCTAGGGGGAAATGCAATTTTTGTTTTTCTGGATCAGCTTATTTCACTTAATTCTCAAAGAAATATTCCAACCTCCATTGTCCCACTTTCTCCTACCTCTCCTCCGTGCCCCAGGAACAAACTTAACAAGCTTGATATTCAACGTGCTTTACACTTTGTGCAGGGAAAAGGTTACTTGCTAGCACAGTACAAGGAAAAAAACAGTGCACAAGGAATTCTGGGGCCCCACACCCAGTGCCTGTTGGTAGGGAATGAGGTGTGCTCAGGGCTCAGGGCTCAGGGCTCAGGCAAGTGTACGTGACCTACTGGTCCTGTGGGGAAGATTTGTGTTGGCAGAATCTGGAACTCTTAAATATTGACAATCAGTCTGAAAACACACACACACACACACACATACATACACAGAAAACCCAAAACCAAAACACCCATCAACCAAACAAAATGCATAGGCTGCCTTTTTTAAATTAGTGTTCTCTAAGGAGATGATTTGTGAATAAGAGGATGGCATTTTCATAAAGCAAGTGATTATGAAAAGAAATTTACACAAAAATTACAACATTGGGAGAACCAGGAAAAACTGGGCAAACATTTGTGATGAAAAATTTAAAGTATTAAATATATTTATTAGAGAGCATTTATAATAAAAAAAACTATATATCACCTATCATGGGCATTTCATGTCTTTGTTCTATGTGCTGTTGGGTTAAAAAATGTTTTAAAAATGACTTTTCAAGCTTGCCTGAACTGTAATGAAAACATAACCCTCTTGGAAAAAATAAAATTATGCAGAATTTGAGTGAAAATGCTCAATTTTCCTCCCATTCTCAGAGTCACTGGAAGTAACCATTGTAAATATTTTGTTTATTCTCATAAAATTTCTTTTCAGTAAAGTTAAAGAGATACTTTATTTCTTTTTTAAATTTTTATTATTAGTTACATTTTATTAACTCTGTATCCCAGCTGTATCCCACTCCCTCATTCCCTCCCAATCTCACCCTCCCTCCCTCATCTCTTCCCTGCCCCTTTCCAAGTGCACTGATAGGGGGGACCTCCTCCCCTTTCATCTGATCCTGTTTTATCAGGTATCTTCAGGACTGGCTGCAAAGTCCTCCAAAGAGATACTTTTTCTTGTATCACCATACTTTGTTTGCCAAGATTTTATTTCTACTGCTTGATCTGAAGGTATTTCCAAAATTCTAAGAAATGAGAAAGTCATGTTCACATTGACTGTTGCTATATTCATGAAGCATTTTAAAGATCTATAACACTAGTATACAAATTACCCAGTACATTTTTCCATGCCTAAGAAATAAGTGTAGGCACTATAGAAGTAATTCAGCACTTAGGAACACCTGCTCTTCTTGCAGAGCACTCTAGCTCCCTTCCCAGCACTCACACAGGTGGCACAGCCCCAGTCAGTCTTTGGGCTTCTGACAACACCTGCACACACGTGGCACACATGAATAAAAATAAATAAAACTTTTAAAAGGAAGTAAATTTAGTCTAAGATTGTAGCTAAGACCAAAAACTGACTAAGAAAAAAAAAAAACCCAAACAAAACAAAAGTAAAAACAAAGTAAAAACAAACAAACAAAAAACCCTTGAGTTTTACCTTTTTCCTTAAATCGTTCTTACTTCGAATTCGCTTTAACTTCAGCTAAGCATTACACTTTTTTCCCAGAATGCCTTCTTTCTTCCTGTGGATCCTCCCTCAGAATAACCTTTGCAGCTAGAAGACTTTTGTTGTTTGAGACGGTAGCTCAGGAATAAAAGGGAGATGTTTGAATCTGTGACAGCAGGTTCGAATTTCACCTAACGGGTCTGGCCTGCTCACCTGCCTGACACTCCAAAAGATACACAACTTTTCCCCTTGTATTTAGACTTGCTCACATTTACCAAGTCTACAAGGAACATGTATTTTATCTAAGGAATGGACAAAAGGAATATCAAAGCACAGGAAAATTCTTTTGTCCTTGGCCTTGAGGGAGTTAGGATAGATTTTTTTTTATTTAAACATTTTTCTTATTGTGTTTTACTGGAAGAAAAGTGCACTGCCAAATTCTTAAAATAACTATCTTCAAAATTATCTTAGGCTGTTGCTGTCCTTACTTTATATATACATAAATGTAGTGGGAGTTTTGGTTTCTTTAAAAACTCAGTTATGTTATGTAAACATGTTTTTTGTTTAATCCCAGGTGTGGGGTACAGGGCTGCTTTAGATTGTTCCCAGTAGCAGACTATTTGCCTTATGCAGGCTCTGAGAGGCGTGTGATCTTTGCCAGCTGCAGACAGTTTAATTTGGAGGACTCTGGAGAGGGAATAAATGCCAGAGTCCAGAGAGAGGCTAGGGTGTTCCAGGAGGAGGAAGGCTGCTGCTCCTTCCCCTGCTGCTCCTGGTTGCTGCTGTTGTGGTTTGAGGAGAAGAAGTTGGAGATATCCTGAAACGAAGATTGGACTTGCTCCAAGGAATCCAACAACCCTAAACAGCCGAAAGTAGTCCAAGAGAACTCCACATCCTCTTCCCACTATCCTACTTTCTCTCCTACCTGGTGTTGGGGTGTTGGAAGGAACTGGGCTGGAGAAAGGAGGAAGAGGC